CGACGCTGTGCGGGGCCCGGGCTGCCGACCTGCGCCGGTGGCTGGCGTCCTCCTGTCTGTCCTTCCTGGGGGGGCTCGGTCGTACCCGTGCTTGTGCCTCTAAAGAAACAAAGCTCCCTGGACTGAAGCGTGCCGTGCTTACGGCGCCGCTTGTCTGTGCTCCGAGGGAGGGGGGGGTAAGAAAATAATTTTAGCTGCAACATTGAATTTTCCACTTTCTCTGGTGTGAAGTGGGAGGATCAAAGGGCTTCAAGTCCTCAGTGCGAATTTTGTCAATTCTAGCACGTTAAGGCGGTCCTAGGCCATTTCTTTTAGCATTTATGTTTCTTTCGGACTCCTTGTCCCCTGGTTCCACAGCTTTAGAGGAGCCTGTGCACTTCAAAGCTGCTTTAAAAAAATGGGTAACGGTGACATTTGCACGCGGCATCCGTTACAGAAGTGCGTGTTGAGAAGGCGAGGGCAAAAGGCCAACGTTGGGCCGCGGACACCTGATGTAGCCCGGTACGAATGCCTGGAGCAAGAATTCGATAACCATGTCGAATACTTTGCTACTTTAATGGCACCATGAGGACGAGTTGGGTTTTTGTTGGGTTTTGTTTTGTTTTTTAATTACCTGTGCTCCTTCCACTCACGTTAGAAGCAGTAACGAGATGGACAGTGTTTCGGCTTGGGTCAGGGCAGCCGAAGGATTTGCTGCTATGAACACAAACCTCGGTTCAAAGGTTGCCCATCTGACGGGGGGTTCGGGTGTCCCCACAGGGGTAGCGGCCTCCTGGGGCCTCTCACAGGCAGGTGGGGGGCAGTGGCCCGAATTTGGGGGGGGGGGGGGAGCCTAAAAATGGGGGAAATGGCGGCGCTAACGGCCATACCGTGCTTGGCTCCCCACGTACGGCGTTGGGGTCCCCGAGTTCCCCCTGCTGCTGCTGCGCTCTGGACAAAAGGGTGAGCACAGACCAAGTACCTGTATTTATTACCGTCAGTTTTCTGCAGTGACTGAAAAAGTGGATGCAGTGTTTCTGCTCGAGAGCCTTGGCTCAGCACGCGCGCACCGAAAAGCTCTGTTGAAACCACACTCGCCTGTGGCGTGACCGAGGACAGGGGCTCAGCTCCTCAGAGATAACAACGTGTGTCATTCTAATCAAAAACAATGTAAGTTATGAATAAGAATGAAACGTAGCTACCTCTAAAAGCCTGGTCCGTTGTGCTTGAGCCAAAAAAAAAAAAAAAAGAGTTGACCGTCTGCCTGCGTTTGTGGAATGAGATTGACTTTCCTGCCGCCCTCCTTCCCCGTTCCCCTCTCGCCGGGGCTGCTCTCGTTCGACCGCAACCGCTTTGGGACGAGGGTTTCACCTGGGGGCGATGCCCCCCACGTGGGTGCCGAAGGCTGAGCCAGCCCTCCCCGTGCCACCCGCGGCCCCTGCCCAGGGCAGGGCTGATGGGGCGAGTCTAAAACCCCCCAGGCCGCTACAACATGACCCGCTCATTTCCAATCACAGTGGCAACGCAGATCGGCAACGTTCCCTCGGCAGTCGTGACAGGCGATGGATGCGCCACGGGTCAGGGCACTGGGAACGATAAATACGCCAATAACTGGGTTTAACTGTGTAGAACAGTTCCCCGTCTTGTGTGCAGTTGGAGAGGCCCCCCAGGGCAGGACGGGGTCCGGGCCTTGGTTGCCAGCGTGGGGGAGCCCTGGCCCCCCCCTGGCTTTCAGGCACTGAAGCTTCCAGCTCCTGCGGGAAGGCCCAGGGGCCTCTGCAGTGCAGGGCCCGTCCCTGGCCACCCAGGAGCGCGTTGCCTGGGCTTCTAGCAGTATTCCTAAGGCATCCTTTATTGAAATTTGGATGCAATGGTATTAAAAAAAAAAAAAGAATCTTTACTTTTTCCAAGGGGGAGAAGCAGTTGCTCCAACAGTAATTCCCCTACCAACGCTTTCAATGCTGGTGTGGGGGAACACCAAGGTTCAACTCCAACTGTGGTCAGATTAAAAAAGCCCGTGCCTGGTTTCACGTATAGGAAACACTGTTCAGAAATTAAAATAATTCCGTAAATCCACTTTTTATAGCACGTACAATAAAAGCCCCACCCAGAGCCTCGTCCTCCTGTAAAAGGTGTGTGATGACATCCATGCGAGGGAGAACAAGGGATTTACTCCCACGGCAAATGAACCCGGGGCGCGGGGGCGTTTGAGCGGACACCGACTGCCCCCTCCCGCCCGGCGCCCACGCTTTACAGGCTCCGCTTCAGGCACGGAGGAAAAAGTCAGCGCTGGCAAGTAAGGACAGAAAGGAAGCAGAAAGCAAATTTATTCTTAAACGTTGAGGCCAGTACCAAGTAGAAGACGCCTTTGCAAGTTTCTGGTTACCGAGTGACTTCTCCCGCCAGCTCAGCCCCGTTTGGGCTTAAGAATAAGCAAGGAAGTTGTTTCCTATGGAAACTTCTCCCTTGCTCGCCAGCTGTGCGAGTAAACAGAGTGAAACTGTTGTGCAAAGCAAAGGGCCTCGTCAGCCGCTTTCAACAATCATCCGAGAAAAAGGAAGGAGAAAACTCCGAAGCCCCGAGGAACCTTTTTATTTAAATATATAAAACATGGTATTTCAGCAAACATTCATTGTCTTCTCATTAAATAAGGTAAAATCACTGAATGAAAGAGCATTCCATTAGTAAAAACAAATGCGCAAGCAGCCCGCTTTTAAATCTACGCAAGGATGAGGCAAACAGAAGATGCGGATTTATTATTTTACAGATAAAAAGACGGAGAAGCAACAGTCTGCAAGTAGGTACAGCAGAAGGAACTTCTGTTAATTGGGGACTCAGAGAAGCGTCTTTGCAGCAGCAGCTGTTTATTAGGCACTGAAGTCCGAATTTTAATTCAGGCCGTTGTGCATCACACTCTGAACCAGTAAAAACTGATGAGGTTCCACTGGTGCTGATTTCCCGCGGCTGACCTCCAGCATCTCAGCATTTCACAGCTCGCACGGAGGCGAGAGCGCGCCAAGCAAAATCTGCCTAAGGAAGAAACCTCCTCGAGGGAGGTAACCGCCGCTCTGAATCCCCGTGTGTACGATACGTAAGGCCACGCGTTCTTCTGGGCTACAGCAGCGGTGACGGACGTTCACGGGGACGAAGCACAAAGACAGGGCAGTTTAGATGAATACCCAGCTCAATCACCATTGCTGCATTAAAGCCAGGATTGCTTTTAAACATCGAGTTCTTTTAATTTGTCAAAGGTACTTCACTACAAAGCAGTATAGCGGGTGTTAACGCAGCTGGAACAAGCGCAACGAATTGATCCGGCAGGCTGCGTATGATGTATCAGCTCGAGCGTCTCTCTGCCCATTCTTACTAAACTAGGAGCACAACACGGGCAGAACAAGCACACACCCATCAGGCAGCCATCGCGAGCTCCGGCGTTCCTGCTCGTCACCTCCTCCGGCCCCAGGCGAGTGCTCATTTGCTTTGCTTTGCCGGGAGGTCGCCGGTGCCTTTAAAACGTGCTGCTCGAAGCCGTGGTCGTGAGGCGCCTCCCGATGTAGATCCTGAGGATCAAGAACACAGGGTCAGCGAGCGCTGCGGTTCGTTTCAACCAGCAGGCACAGCAGGCGAGGTGAATGCTGGTCTTAGCAGGTCACCAGTCACCAGCAGGAGCAGCAGTGCCAGTCACCAGCAGGAGCAGCAGTGCCAGTCACCAGCAGGAGCAGCAGTGCCAGTCACCAGCAGGAGCAGCAGTGCCAGTCACCAGCAGGAGCAGCAGTGCCAGCTGTATCGAAGCGGGCCAAGCAAGCCACTGTTCAGCTGCCAGTGACTTCGTGCCCGCCCTCGCCCGGTGCCGCCCCCGCGCTCTAAGGCTGAGCAATTCCCCGTGAGCCGTCGGGTGCCAGGAACGCGGGAGTCAGAGGTAAGTACGGGGTGAGCAAGGACGCGCTGCTGCAGGAGGTCTCCAAGTCAGATGCTTTATTACCTTTTGCCTTTTGTTATCTCAAGTTTTTCCATTTGCTAAACGCCTCTGAAATTCGTGAACCTCTCACTTCACCGTCATCTTCCTGTACCTCCTGCTATTTCTCTGGTCCCTGTTTCCCAGCCTGGTTAATGCTTGCACAGCTGCCCTACACTGCAACCTCTCTTCACACGCTTCTTGTAGCTCAAAGAAATTATTATTTTGATGTGTAATGTTTTACTGATACTACATTAAGCACTTTCTGAAGACGCGACTTTGTTACTCGTTACAGAATGGGAATGGTGCAAATTTGCAGCAGTGGTGGAAGCGACCGGGAGGGAAGTACATACTTAAATCGCCAAACTTGCGCTTATCTGAAAGGACAATTCCAGTATGCTTTGATTCCATCTTGCACAGTTACTCGTTTTGATTTTGGAAGGAGTTCAGTTAGTGTCATGCTGCCTTTACAGTATTACGTGGCTGAGACCTTGATTTTGCACAGGAAGATAGCCTGTGCCTTCATCCATCCAAAACGGTGCGTACTCGGGCCGCCCCTCCAGCCAGCCACTGCAGCTGTGCCACCTCCTCCTCTTCCCCGCAGCCTCCCGATCCCCTCGCTCTCACCTTGCGTAGCCTTGGCAGGGGGGGGGTAAAGAGCAGGACCAGAGCTAAGGGCAGGTTCCTCGGAAAACAGGGGAAACCCCCGAACTCGTACCGCGGTGGGAGAGGGGCCAGGCGTGCCTGGGTTCCCAGCTTTCTTTCCTGGTATCCAGGAATCTGCCACGCTTAGGTGCAGGCAAACCCTGATCCTGACTAAAAGGCGTTTAACCTCTTCCTTCAGTCTGTCTCCTGTAGCTGGTTTTGAAGGATCATCTAACCCCCAAATCATCTGAAGAAAAGCAACTCTCGTTTTGTTTGGGGATCCCCCTCCCTCCCAGGTGTGAGTGGAATTTTAAAGTACATTAAATAGTATCTTTCTCCTTTGCAACGAGTGGTGAGATTGAAAGTCGTATCTCCATGGGAACCAAGTACTGTGTCAGTGTAACTGCAGTGCACGTCTAACTCCTAATTTCACTGCTCCTTACTTATTTTGAAAAAATTCTCAACTAGTAAGAAGAGCAGAAAAGGAAAAGTTGATGCTTTCAGCAGTGCCGCAAGCAGAAAATGCTTCCCAAACAACTATCTGTCCCCCATCTACAGAGAAGAGTGTACTACTCGTCTTTTAGGCAAAGAGGGAATTGGGAGTCAGAATTAGGCCTCTGAGAAAACAAAAAAACAAACAAAAGTAGAATTTTTTTTTACCTTAAGTTTAAACTTACCCAAGTCCAATGGCCAGCAAATGAGAAAGCAGCAGAGACGGAAGAAAAACCTTCAAAAACTCGGCTGAGAATATCCCCCCTTTCTTCATTACACTGGTATTTCTCATGCTGAGAGTAGCTGTGCGCCTGGGATGTTTGAACAGGAACTCCCTAGTTTTGAGGAAGAAAACACGGTCTCAGCATTAACAGATTCATATTTAGACTCGTGGCAGTAAAAGCTGCATCCGAGTGCATCCTGAAGCACTGACAGCACTCACTTTGGTGGGATGTTCTCGGGCCTGCTGGACCAATCCCATATCCAGTCTGCATTCTTCTTCAGGAGCCTTTCTACTTCTTTCCTCCTTTCAAGAAAATCTTCTTCAGACTAAAACAAAAAGCCCTTATCAGACAGCACTCAGAACTGTGACAGGTAGGGCGTTAGCACTGCAAAACCACTCCTGCTCTGCATCCAAGACCGTATGCCAGGCTACCTCTGCCGCTCGCTTCTCCCCTCGCTTCCCACTGTCAACTCTCTGGATTGCCTCTGCTGAAGTATTTAGATCCTAGACAAAGGCAGGGGAGGAGGGAGATCTGTCCTCAGAGCAGGACGTGGATGGAGAAGACCACATCCCAGATTTGCTTAAGTAAAGACTACCCTGGGAAGAAAATGCCGGAGCCCCGCATTTAATCCCTGCACGCGGGATCTGAAATTGTCTCCAGTTCCCGCATCTGACCGACACTTGGCAGAAGAAACTGCCTGCATTCAGAACTGGGGGGATGTCATACTTGTCTGACGGTCCTTGATCAAGCTAGCAGAAGCCAAGTGAAGCTCCTCCTACTCTCATGAGGCTCCCTGGGTGTGGGCCAGTGTGGGGAATAGAGCAGTCGTGAGCCCAGTTCTACCTGCACCCACCCAAACAAACAGTGGCTTTGTTTTCAAGTGAATTACAGCATAAGCGCTGAGTAAGAATACAGTTTCTTGCTTAATACATGTGCATTAAATGGAGCCAAGGGCTGGTGATAAAAATAGCATCTGATGGTAGAATTAAAATAGCTCTATAGCTATGCGGACATACGCACTTAGGAATGGAAATAAAACTGTCCGGGCAACTTTAATTCTGAGGGGTTTCTAACTTTTGATTATTTGTTCTCAAAGTCTAAATAGTGACCTTTAAACACAGGAAGGGTTTTCTGGAAATAAATATAAAAATAATGAATTTCCACTAATGTGTGTAGCTAACCTAAAGCTGGTAATTCGTTCAGCTGGATCCCTGTAGGAGTGGCAGCGATGATGGGGAGAGTTTCAGATAAAGGAAGAGGCACTGGGACCAAGCGCATTTCATGTCATTTTGAGAACTGATTAAATCTATGTATCATTGATACAGCTGGATAATTTACAAACCGCACGAAGCCGAAACCCCACAAGGTTAAATGCTGCACAAACAGCAAACACAGAGACTTTGTTTTAAAACATTCCTAGCAGTGGGTAGAGAAAGATAATCCATGGGCCAGTACAGCCAGCCAAGGAAATCGAGGGGACCCCGAGGTGATAAATACCCAGCGCACGCTCAGCTACAGATGACAAACAACAGTCATTGAAAAGGTAAGTGATGGACAAAATCAGGGTTGTGTTTTGTTGTTTTTTTTTTAAAGTAAAGTGCAAGGGTCCCGAGTTCCTACTAGAATTAAAGAAATACCATTGCACAATGGAGCACGAGTAACTGTTTGTGCTGGTAACCTTTGCCAGTTTATTATCGTTTGTGATCTCTTTTTGTGCACAGCCCCCAGGTGAAATACAACCTCTATTTCTAGTTGCTGCTGACCCTGTCAGAATTAGTCACAGGCATGGAATATACTTCAATTTAATGAGAAAATAGTAACTCTTTGTACATAAACAGCGCAGGGAGAGGGATTTGCCCAAGATAATACAGCAAGTCTTTGGAAGGATAGAGAAATTTACTTAAAATACTTTTAACACTTCACTCCTCAAAATGCTTTGTAAGTAGATTTTTTCAAATCAAAGCCAGTATCTAATTACAGTGAAGAGTTAAGATTTTCACCTGTCATCATGCAATAAGCTATATATTGCCAGAACATGGTTAATACGCGGTATCCTTTTTCCCCATACTTTTCTCACTGATTTTCTTTGCCAGTACGTAAACAAATGTACATAACGAAATGAGAAATAGCGGGGAGTTTTTCAAAGCAGCACACAGAAGTACTCGTTGTTAAACTGAAATGGAATCGTATTGCTATGGCAGTGCTTTGAAAACGTATGTCACTGGCTGCCATGCTGAAGTGGCTCTAGAAATTCTTGCTGCTGTCAAACTCGCTTTTTAAATTCGTAATGCACCGGTGGTAGCGCATTTAAAGAAAATGTCATTGTGGGGGATGCATGAACCATACAGAGCTGACAGGCAAAGGGGGAAGAGGAAACTTCTGCAGGGTAAGCTGCCCACAGAACATCAATATTCGCCCGCACAGCCATGCATACGCCCACCCTACCAATGCCTTTCCTACAAATTTGAAGGTAAAATCCCATTGCCTCACAATCTGTTAGATGTACATCACAATCGACCTGTTGAGCAGGGAACAACAATGCCCACTTCACAGGACAAAGGAAACCATGACAGAGAACAGGACTCAGGGTCACCAGAAGTTGGAGGCTCAGCACGGCGCTGACTCCAGCTCTCTTGAAATCTCGACTAGTGGTTATTGTCTGGATTATCTTTTTTCCTAAAAACTGCTTGTAGGATCTGAAGGTTCGCCTTTTCCACTTGTGGCTGGCAAGAGGCATTTGAGAACCCAGACATTTTAAAAAACAATAGATTAGGGCACTTAAATCCGAAAATTTCAGGTTACAGATTTAAAAAAAAAAATAAATAAATCTATGTAAGTCAGATACAGATGCACAAAGCCTGATTCCACAAAGATTACTCTAAGTTACCAACTTATTTAGGTCTCTACAGTGGTAGCTTCACCTCTTACTTCCTAATGCTGGTTTTCAAATAATGAGAGTAAGAAATTCTTTCTCCCAAAGCAAGACAAGGTTTTTACCTGAAAGCTGTTCTTTTCTCCACTGCTGTGACTCTCTATTTCCAAAGCTCTGTGGCTGTCCTGAGGCGTCTGGGAACGAGGAGGGCTTGATATAAACAGAGATGCAAGTAAGAAAGCACTCATTAAGTTTTCTGTGACATTGTTTATGGTATGAACTAAAAGCTAGTCAACGAAGCACAGTTCTCCCAAAGAGCTACAGTGCCCTGACCATAACTTAAGAGATTAACCTGCCAATGGGCGATACAATCCAGACATAATCTTTGATTTTCTAACGATCTGCCAAGAAGCTTGCTGCACAGAGCCTGTGAGGCTGTAGGATTTGGCCCCTGTTACTTACTCAGTAACAATGGGAAGCAAATGATGAATAAATAATGGAGTTTCATTTGAATTCAAAGTAGCCAGACAAGGCTAGGAAGTTCTGTATCCTACTGTCTTTTTTTTTTTTTTAAATAAACTTTAGGCTGCAGACTTCACAGCCCATAAAAAAAAAAATCAAATAAATGAATTAATAACAGTGACCGACAATTTGCATCGGATGCAAGTTGTTCTGTTGCGTTATACTCCTAGAAATCGGTTATGTTTTCTAAACTAGAGAGAGGGCAATTCTTCAGCAATTACCTCAGGACTATTACTGACGAACCTCATCACAGAACACAAGTTGCTTTTTACCCCCTTTCTCTGACATTCCTGCCCCAGGCCGCGGTGCTAGCAGCGCTATAGCTCCTAAGAACAGCACTGACGCCGCTTGCACAGGGACTGATCCTGCAGAACGGCAGCCGCACTCGGCTCCGGAGTGTTTTATTTACTAGAAGGCGGCTGCTGCCGGTACACAAGCAGCACAGCCGTGGGAAGTTCAGCTGCTGCTGGACGACTTTATCAGGATACACCAAAACCCCAAGATGGCATCTCCATGAGAGGCGAGAACTCTCCTGGAGTCCTCTCCCCTGTAACTTCTTTCTGGTTTCAGGACAAATTTCTACCCACACATTACTCTGGTATTTAAATATGAAATTTTCGTACCTCTTCCTCTCTGCGTGTGTGTATATGCGCGTCCATATGTATACACACGCACGTATGTCAGCATTTCTGTATTTATCTTTGCCTCTTGTGCATGAAAAGGGCTTTGTGTAATAGTGACCTTTGCTTTGCTTGCAATCAAGCATTTTGTTTACCTGTCGCAATGCGAACTTTCTCTTGAACTGCTTCTTCCAGATTCGTGTTGAGCATCGAGAAGTATTTTTTCCATGTCACCATTGTGAATGGAAATAGAGGCAGGTACCTGCTCTTGGCTCGTCGGAGTGACAGCGCTTCCACCGCCATTTCCATTACTGCTGAAGTGGAGCTCTACCCAGGAACCTGCTCGGCATAATTGAGAACAGAACCAGAATAAACCAAGCGGTTTCACGTAAAAGGCATATAAAATATGAGACTGTCGATCCTCCCCAGCGTGGCATCACAGTACAACACTCAGAAGTACTAGCATTGACGCCTCGGCTAATAAACACGATAGAAGGCCAAAACGCGGGGGTGCTTTCGCTAGCGAGCTGGGGAGTCCCTCAGAACCACGAGGAAGCCAGTCAGTATATTGCGTCTCTTTCTGCATCTGAAGACCTTTTATTTCGGGATATGTTTAATTTTTATTGTTCCACATAGGTGGCAGCCAAATAAAATAATCTCAAGGACTTTCTCTGCCAAAGCTCACTTGTTAGTCTACTGAAAATCTTTTAGGCTCAGGACTCCAGGAACTGTGTTTTGTTTAGCCTTTTTTCAGTACGGATTTTTAGGTGTCCCTGTTAAGCAACAGAGGATATGTGGCAACGACTAGATCATGTGTTTGCTACTCGCAGTATATTTAACACAGACAGTCACATGTTGCTTTGTTTTTTTAAGAGCGTGCTGAATAACAACTCTCTTCTGGGCTAGCAAAACCAGCGCACAAAAGGACCCCTATCTGTTGCCTCCTTTATGAATCAGCTCAAGAGACAGATAACATTTGGATTATGTAAATGTCAGTGGAATGTACCCATGTAATGTTGTTTACGCGTGTAAACACCAGTAGAAGTAAACACCAGTAGAAGTAGATGGATGTATTGTGCCCCCACCCTGGAACGGGTCACAAGAAATCTAACGGTGAAGCTCCCCAGATTCTGGGGAGCACGGCAGGAAGGATGCCTAAGGCACAAGCAAGGGAAGGGAGAGACGCAGAGAGCGGCGTTTGGACCATGCCTGCTCGAGGGGCAGAGCTGGGGAGGTAAGGCATGTCCACGGGAACAGCAGGAGGGATAAAGGACCGGTTTTAAAGGTATGCCGAAGGGGAGAAGCCAAGCGGAGACCTAGCGTGAAACAGAAACATCAAATGAAGACAGACACTGCAGTTGTGAAGAGACTGAAGGTCATGAACGGAATGAAAACAGCAAAAAGCCAAACTGCTTGGTCTGCAGTAATAACATTAACCTCTCTCTTCTGAAAAGCCAGATGACCACAAAGTCTTTTGAATGGAAACATACTGGCTTACCGAGTTCTGAAGCAACATTTTTCTGGATAGCCTCTTACTTCACAACGGTTTTGTTGTTTTGCGGGGGTTTTTTTCCCCCTCCATGTGACCATACGTGCTATGTGTCTGGGTATGTGTTTATACCCAAACTTTTCCCTACTCTTTCCTCCCAAATTCATGAAAGCCCATGTTGTTACCCAAGAATGATCGCAACCACTGAATTTTATAAATTAAGATAGTGTCCAAGCGGAGCTCTGGCTCCAGCTACCTCAAGAGTATCAGCTAGCTCCCAGCCTACCTGTCCTCGCGCCCCAGCGCATCCCGCCTCGCCTTCTGCTCCTCTACTTACAAAACCAGAACAACTTCACGCTGCGCTGAGCGCACGACAGCGATTCGTATACATGGTCATGAGCTATTTTCTTCCGTAAAGATATGAACTATTTGAGGCACGCTCACATTTCAACAATCATCAGCACCACAGGCTTCATGCAGCCAAGGAACACTGCCTACCGAAACCTTGCTGGATACAGCACGGTGAGCGCAAGAGAAAACACGGAGGAGATGAAGATTATAACAGAAGGGTCACAGTACATGTGCTTTACACGTTTCCTTTTTTTTTTTTTCCTTTCAGACACTCTTGAGAGTAAGGCTGTGCTAGCGCACTAGGAACATGCTGTTATATTATCATTTAAAGATAAAAGAGCCCGAACTTCTATGAAGTTGGAAATATAAACATAAGAGCACGTGTAGCGTGGCCATGCAAACTGAACGGGCTGAGTCGTAGGGAAGGATTTTTGCAGAGAATCATCTTGCACGACGTTCCAGCCCAGCGCGCGTACTGCGGGAATACAGATCAACTCCATCAGCTCTGGAAAACAATCAGCAGCTCCATCAGCTCTGGAAATCTTAATCTCTTAATACATGGCTTTCAAAACTGGAAACAAAAAAGCAAAATTCCACAGAAAGATGACAACTTCTCCTTAAATAGCTAAAATCACCGCGTAAATCACACAATTCCACGTGTAAATCACACAATTCCACGTGTAAATCACACAATTCCACGTGTAAATCACACAATTCCACGTGTAGCTGCGCACAGATCTTCCCCTTGCAGTGTAAATTCGCTTCTGACTGTTGCTACACAGGGATCCACGCACCTGACCCCGACCCCTCCTCAAAGGCGCGCCCCAGGCTGGCCACAGAGGGTCTCTCCCGCCAAGGCAGGACTCGCGTTTGCCACAGCGCAAAACCTGACGAGGAT